ATCTAAAATAAGTTAAAAAGAATTTTTCATGATTACATGTCTAATTTTTACAGATCATTAAAGCTACATACTCTTACATGATGGTGGTCTACAAAGGTCAGCAATCAAAATAATTGTAAATGAAATAGCCAAGATATTGAAACGAATCCAGTTCCTATACCCTTATTAAAATTATTAATTTCTTTTTGAAACACACAAATAAACTATGAATTCAAAGCATAGTTTTATTGTCATTGTTTCAGAAACCACGAAACCTAATCCGTAGCTTAATATTCGATAATTTTTTTAACATCCAATATTTATTGCAATCTGTCCAACACAAAAAATAAGCAATATACATACGTTCTCTTTGTATAATAACAACAGTTTCTTGTTGAAATTAACAAATAAAATATGAATTAAAAATGTAGTTTTATTCCCATTATTTCAGCATCCACGAAACATCATTGACAATAGATTTATATTCGAATTTTCGAAAACTGAAAAAACTGAGAGATTAAAAATATTCCCAAGTTGGCATTTCCAAATCAGCAAATCATATAGAATTATGAAGGTATACATTTTATGGGAAAAGCTTTCACAAGGATACAAGATTCTTGTAAATGAAGATAGGTTTTAGCAAAAGAAAAATGCAGTTCCAGTGGTATACCACTGGAACTGCATTTAAATATCAGGAACCAAGACAAATGAAACATTAATTAGTGTAAACCCCACAATTTTATCCCTAAAGGTAAAGGTGAAAGAAGTAAAAGTTACAGATATAGGTAAATTAGCTATTAAACAAACATTTTGAACAAGTAACAAAAGAGCGCTGACAAATTATGAGAGGACATTTTAACAAATTTAAATAATTATACAATCGAACCCCAAAAAAATGAAGAAGAAGAAGAAGTAGAGCCACTAACCCAAATTATTTTGCAAAATAGAAGCGTTCAATACTGTATTTTAACTTGTAATCACTTTATTTTACTAAAAATTAGTATTGACTGTAATGCTTAAACTTGAAATTGTTTTAAATCTATATTTTAACTTTTAGCTAAGATCTGAATACATAAATACTAATTGTTTTTTTTTTTCACCTTTCTATACCTTCACTTCAGAAAAGTAAAAAAACTTTCATTTCATTTCGAACATATATTTTTAAAAATTTTAACGGCACATATTATGTACCTACCCATAACTTTTTTTTCACGTATATTCATTTTACCTTTAAAATAGAATAAAATTTCCCACTCAAGTAATAAATTCCGTTATCAGTTGTTTATTGATTTTACAGCTAAGAATTACTTATATTTGTATTTCCAATTTAAAAGCATGTCAGTGCAATTATATTTAACAGAAGAACATCGCCCTATATCGTGTATCCGCTAGTTTGCATCTTAGGTGATGTTCACTTCACACTATTAAAAATATTTGGACTATTCACTGCGGATTCCCAATCCATCATATGTATCTATTTCTAGTATTATATATAATTTTTAAAAAATGTTCTTTTTCTATCGTCATTATCATTCTGACTTTACAACCTTACGTGGGTCCTAGCCTCCTCAAGAATTTGTCTCCAGTCGTCCCTATCAATCGCCTTTCTCGGCCAAGCACGTATTCCCATATTTCTCATGTTTTCATCGATGTTATCAAGAAACCTTGTTCTTCTTTTTTCCTATTCTATATTTTAATTCAGTATACCTAATCCAAGTATAATATCTCAATCCAGGAATAGTTAAAGAATAGATTAAATTATTTCAAATTTACTAAATTATTAATTTTTAAAAATTTAAATTACGGTTCTGTCGTAGCTTGTCACAAATTTCTCAATCCGAAACTGTGTTTCCGTTTAAAATATGGCGATCACATGCTGACACACTTCAAAGACGGCATCTGAGAGTGGGCATTATGATTATTATTTATTCTGTGCTGTATCAAGACCATGCATCGAGCAGACAAGACAAATGGTGGCCATTTTGAATAATTGTTTTTAGTTTGAAGTGCATTCATCAGTAATAAAGTGTGTAAAACTTTTTCAAATCAAATCCTAGTTTAATTTTTTTTATTATAATTAAATACCTACATCATCATCATCAGTGGTGCTACAGCTCTAGTTGAGCCTTGACCTTCCCCAGTCTATTTCGCCAGTCGTTTCTGTTCATCGCCAACCGTTGCCAATTTGCCGCGCCGATCTTCCTTGCGTCCTCGTCCACACCGTCCCTCCATCTCAGTCGTAGTCTGCCTCTACTCCTATTTCCCACTGGGACCGATAATAGAGTTCGTCTGGGTGGGTAATTTTCATTTGCTCTTGACACATGTCCAGCCCATCTAAGCCTACCTATTTTTATGAAGGATATTACATCTCTACCATTTACTATTTTTTTATACTTCTCGTACAATTCGAAATTATATCGCCTTCTCCAAATACCATTCTCACAGAATGCGCCCATTATTCTTCTTAGTATCTTCCTTTCGAAGACGAGCAGAAGATTTGCGTCTGTTTTGGAGATGGTCCATGTTTCTGACCCATATGTCAGCACTGGTAGGATGAGTGTTCGATATATGCTGCTTGCTTAGTCCAAAATAACATTTGTTTGCTAGCAGTACCCTCCGTTTAACTTCTTCAGATGTGTCATTATCGTTTGTTATGAGAGAACCCAAATATGTAAACTTATTTACTACCTCAAAATTATATTGGTCTATACTGAAGTTTTGTTCGGCGTTTCTAGCTCTATCTCTGTTATTTGGAATAGATGCTAACATTTTGGTTTTTTGCTCGTTTATTTTAAGGCCCATATTTTGTGCGGCTGTCAAGAAGGCGGAAGTCATCTCTTTAAGTCCTCGTGTAGTACGTGCAATCAAATCCAGATCGTCAGGGTAAGCCATAATCTGCGTTGATTTATTAAAGATTGTTCCCCTATTGTGTAACTCGGCATCTCTTATAGTCTTTTCTAAAGCTATATTAAAGAGAAGGCACGCCAGCGCGTCTCCCTGCCGTAACCCTGCATATGTTTCAAACGCTTGTGACATATCGCCTTGTATTTGCACTCTGCAGATCACTTTACTCATAATTGTTTTTACGAGCCTTATTAATTTATGGGGAATGTTAAGTTCATTCATGGCTTCGTATAATTTACCTCTTAGGACGCTATCATACGCTGACTTAAAGTCCACAAAGAGATGGAACGTGTCAATATTAAATTCATTGGTTTTTTCTAAGATTTGACGTAGCACAAAAATCTGGTCGATTGTTGACCTACCTGGCCTAAAACCGCTTTGATACTCACCAAGGATTTCTTCCACGTACGTACTTAAACGGCTGTACAGGGTATTGGAGAATATTTTGTACATTGTATTCAGAAGAGTTATACCCCTATAATTTTTACATTCCAACAAATCTCCCTTTTTGTGTAGTGGACATATGATTCCAGTGCACCATTCCTCTGGCATTTGTTCTTCTTTCCAGACTTTGACTATTATGTTGTAAATTTGGTGCATAATGCTGTTACCTCCATGTTTGATGAGCTCTGCGGGGATACAATCCACTCCTGGGGACTTGCTATTTTTGAGTCGTGTGATTGTGTCTTTCACTTCAAATGTTGAAGGAGGTTCTACGTGAGTGTTATTTCTTGGTCTTTGGGATGACGCATCATTTTCCACTTCGGTACCAAGTAGTTCTTTGAAGTGCTCAACCCATCTGCTTTGTACTGCGTCAGCGGTACTGACTATATGTCCATTTTTGTCTCTACACATCGTCAGCCGTGGTTTAAATTCTTTTCTTGTCTTATTTAGGATATTATAGAACTTTCTAGTTTCATTTTGCCCCTTTAATGATTGAAGCTCTTGCATAATCTGGTTTTCAAAGGTCCGCTTTAAATACCTACAATCAAATATAAATGTTCAGGAACGCAAAAGTTGGCAAGTACCTAGATGCAATAAAAACGGGCATTTTAAATGTTTAATCGTTAATTTATAGCCTTATGTTTTGTAATACCATAGGGTCTAGATAACAGAACTCGCTAAACCCAAATTAGTTTGACATTTTTTATATTAATATTTAAAATAGGTCAACTAAAGAGTGTAGGCGTAAAACGCCAATGCTTTTTAAATGCATTCATTTTTTCGAATCCTGAGAAACCTAATAAATATTTTTGAAAAATTTAAACGTAGAATGAAAGATTACGTTATGACCGATGGCCGAAAGTCCCTTAAAACTTCTGTAATGTTTATTTTAGTAAGTTACAGGGATGAAAAAAAGAGAAAATTAAGAGTGATTTTTAATTTCAAATATTTCATACAAAAGAAACTTTTTGTTTGTCCTAAAGGACTTTTGGCCCTCGGTAATAATGTAATCTTTTATTTTGCGTTTAAATTATTCAAAAATATTTATTTTCTCAGGATATGAAAAAAATGAATGCATTTAAAAAGCATTGGCCAAAAATTTTGCGCCTGCTGCATTAAATTTCATATTTAAAGTCAGTCTGTTTTTCTGCCATCTATCGAATAATTGTAGAAACATATAGCGAGTAAAAAGCCATTTTCTGTAATTGGACCAACTCATGATACTATGACTATAAGATAAAATATTGCGCATGTTTTTGTGACGTCATTGGAGACTTGCACGTTCAAAATGTCAGTTTTTGTATATACCAATAAATAATCTTTAATAAATAGTTTGGAGATATCCTTATGCGTACGATTATTGTAATTATTAAACCTCTTAACTTATTTTCGTCTAGTAATTTCATCACAGAATGCATACAAATCTCATTTAACTTTAACAAGAATTCAAATTCTAGTCTCCAATGACGGCATGCGCGAACCCGACCGATTTTGAGCTACGGGAAGATCCTATCTTGTTATTCATAGTATCATGTATCATGGACCAACTCTCAATCCATTAAATGTCAACAACCTAACCTAACTATTATATTTATATTGGTTTGTTTAATTTTAAAATTACATTATTTTGACATTTACTTAATAGCATTTACCACTGCCTTAATGTATAGACGATGAAAAAATTATATATAATTCTTACTGATGGAACCTACTGTTATGGTAGATATGTGATTAAAAGAAACGGCATTAAACAAATCAAGTCAATTTCTAATGGAACTGAAATACTGAACTTAGACAGCACATTTTGGCATTACTTATTCAAGGAATTAGTTATTAGCTGTCTATATAGACAATGTTTTATTTCACATTGGACTTTAGTAAATAATAATGGTATCATTTTCAAACTTCAACCAACTAGTTATGATTTAATTGACTATAATTGGAATGAAAGGATCTTCCTTTTAGTGAGAGAAAGATGTGAACTAGATCATGCACTATCTTGGTTATCAACATTAGGAGGTGCCTTTTCTGCTCTAGGTGGGTATTTAAAACCAACAAGCTACTTTTTATTTTATTTTACCAAAACATATTTTAGTAAAAGCAAGTAAAAGGAAAATAGTACCATCCATAGAATAGTACAACAATCAAATTTTGTATAAATAGTTTATTGCTTTTCAATATTGAATAATCACTTTGGCACTGCACTTTAAGAATAGTTTTTCAAATTCTCTAGGATTCTGAATTCACCTCTTTCCACACTTTGTAAAGGGCACTCCACTAGAAGGTTTTTTTAGTGTTAGTGGGATCCTGCAAGTATAACACTCTTGTAATCAGATGTTCATACATAAGGTGACTATATCTAAGCCACAATTGTGGGATGATTACCTGAGAAAACAATTGGTGAAACTATCAAACCATGTTTGAAATGTTGGTTTTATCTCAAGTAATTTTGCCTGTTTTTGTGCCACCTGCTTTTCTATATGTCAACTTACTATTTTGCTGTGAAAATATGATTATTTGAGTCTGTATTTTGGATTGATCTCTTAAGGTTTCTCATGCACATTTTTCTGCCAGATTGTTTCCTGTGATTCCAATATGATATGGCACCCACAGGAAGGCAATGTTTATGTGATTTAAATTGTGCAATTCTTGTCTAATGGGTATGGCCACCAGATGGAAAGAATAGATTATGGAGATGATTTCTGGAGAATTTAGTGAGTGTGTAATTATTATAAAGTTAATTTCAGGACTTTTTGTAATGTGACATATGGCTTTATATATTGCAAAGAGTTCTCTTGTTAAGATAGTTTATGTCTAGTTTTTGATTAGTCTTGACTATACCTTATGTTCCAAATGAGTCTACTCGTTCCAATAAGTAACAGTATAATTATGACACTTAATTATTTTTTTTTCTTTTCTCAAATATTCGTGTTTATTGCATAGTAAATAAATTAATGTTATCACTGAATACAAAGTAAGTGAAAAAATACTCCGATTATAAAATTAATGAATATTTTATGCATAAATGCAAGTAACAGTTCTTCAAAAATATTTAAAAACTAACCGGAATGTCCATCTTTATTTCGTCTGGCGAGGTTATCAGCGGTTCATACCAGTTCGGACACGATTTAATGTTTATATTTTCCTGCATGGCTTAATGAATTTTACTATAGTTTATATTCCTTTTTTTATCATATGTTACAAAGGCAGATACCAAACAATGTTCTGTGTTAGATCCATCAGTGAATAACTGTTTGAAGGAGGAAAATTGAGAAATTAAGGTTTGATTTTAGAATTAATTAAATGACAATAATTGGTTTCTTTCTTATATTTTGGCAATAGATCCAAATGTATATGTGGAGAAAATATTATATAAGGAGGGCGAGTTGGCATCTTGCTAAGATAGATGAGAGTCAATTCCTGTTTTCTTAAATCTAATGGTAGTTTACAGAGTTCGGCGTTAAGACACAACATATTTCTTCGCTAGAATTATTACAATATTTCTGATAATTTCAAGAAATGTGGTTCTTGTATGTACAATTTTATAAAAATATATTTTGTATTATAGGTGATTATTTTGCAAATTGTGCAGAAACAGCAGGAAAAATATCCTTTCATCAACTAAAGTTGGCCCTAAGGTTAGGAGATCCTAGTATTGCATCTAGATGTCGACTGTATCTAAGTTTAAGCTTCATTCAAAAGAAGAGATATAAATTAGCAAGGAGAATTATAGAAACAGAGTACCAAATAGCTAAGAGGACTAGTATAGTGGACCCTAGACTTATTAACATGTGCAGAGGTATTTGGTCAAAGTTACAATATGAACATTTGGTTTATAAAAACAGAAAGAAAGAAATTGTTTAGTTTATGAGTTTGATCATATGAGAACCCTTCAAACATATTGATAACATTACAATTTCTATAAAAGTATTTGTATTGTACAATAATATAAATTGAAAACTATTTTTATTTACATTTGTAATTGTGTTGGACATCTTTGCAGTGTTAGGGTCCTATATATTTCCATGCATTGAAGTAGTTGCTACAATATTCTATTATTATGTCATTTTATTAATTTATTTGGTTAAATAAACCAACCAACAAAAAGTACTAATTTTGTTTTTTTTCTTTGATATAATTTCTGTATTTTGCATGAGATAGTAAACATATACTTTCACATCACAATGTTACTGAATTTTCTCTTTTATATATCTATAGAATTATTTTCAATGTTGATTTATTCTTAATATGTTCTCAAACATTTTTGATTATACCTATATCTTTTACACTATTTTACATGACATATCAATGAAACTATTTGATTGTTTTATTTACTTTTTAAAATTACATTCAAAAAATTGCAAAAACAGTACAATTTACATTACTGGCCCATCAAATTTTGAGCTCTATGGTTTTACCATAATGTATCATCATGTATTGTATCTCATTCTGTATTCATCAAAATTTTATAGACTATAACTTTTAAGTAGAGGTCCCGTCATTTAGCAAGGCATCTTATTTGCATATTATGAGGCATGTTGAAATTGTATAAGAACCATCTTTGAAGTTGTTGATTGGTTATTGAAATTTTAACTAAATGACAATGGCGCACACTATTTAGTAGATACAGCTAAAACATATTATTCTGAATAAAGGCGATTATTTAGTTTTCAATAATTTTGAACATATAGCTAACATTTGAAAAATGATCAGTAAGATATTTGATGGGATAAAACAATAATACAATAATACGAGGTTAGTCTTCGTAAGTGGGTATATTTATTTTAAAACCCTTAAAAGGGCTACATAAAAAAACAAACGTTTTCGGACTAAACAGTCCATCATCAGGTATAAAATCGCTAGGTTAAAATGCCTAAGCCACCAAAAATATATGGGTAAAAACCCTTTAAATTACATATAGTTATAAAAGATTATACATCTTGTTGTTAAAAAACTGTGATGTTCAGTAATAAATTAAATATGACTTCAGGTAACATACATTGCAAAAATTCGCATGTAGGCAAAATGGGGTACAAGAGCAGAGTATAAAAGATTGGCAAATAAATAACATTGAGAACTAAAAGTAAAAAGTGTTTGGAAACATTGGAAAAGTGGAACATTAAATTTGAATATCAAAAATGAATACTAAATGCATTGAAACTGCTTACCTGTTGCTTCAGCAGTCTTATTTTTTACCATTAGCAGAGTGTTCATTTCACTTTTCATATTTTTAAAATAATTATACACATTAAATATTATTTGACGACCCTGCTCTTTAATAACACTACGTTTTTTCCGTCCATTTTCATCAAGATTGTTTGAAAATAAAAGTCTCTAATATTTAACACACACGACTTGTTCTCAACTGCACTGCTGCGCTACTGAGTATTGAAATGATTTACTGCTAAGGCTTGACAACATTTCAAATTTTGACATCTGCCCAATGCGATAATATGTAAATTAGATGCCTTCCTAAATGACGGGGCCTTTACCTACTTTATATTGAATGAATTATTGCAAATGAGTATGTATTGTGTATTCTGAATGATTGTTGTACTTTTGTATACTTTGGAGTTCACTAAAAATACAATACTTTCCTATTGTCTCTATTTAAAAACTTCTACAAATCTTTACATTTTAAATTAAAAAATAATGGAAATTATTATATGTTGGTGTCATTCTGTCATTAAATATGTTTGTGAGGAAACTCATAATATCTAAAGTAATATACATAAAAGTTGTGATGTAATTGTTAAATAAATTATTATATTTCTAGAAATAGTTTTTTTTCTACATAGTTGTAATTTAGTATTGTTTTGTACCCACATATTATTTTGAACTAAAAACAACCAAAATTAAGGATTGTGCAATCTACAGAAAAGGATAAATGAAACGAGCAAATGGTGAGAATAGAAAAGTAGTGAGAATAACTAGACGAGACATAGGATTGACAAAATTAAACTAATAATTAAAATGTATAATTCGAAGTTAAATTATTTTATATGAGATTAAACCATAATTGATTGTAATGAGAATTACCCAAAAACATCAAGTCAGAGGAAAGATAATAATATTGAAAATCCACTAGGAAACTAAGTTCCTGTAGCTGGCTGTATACCATATATCACAAAAAATTTATTTAAAATCCTTTATAAAAGGCATATAATAAAATGCCCAAACGGGCTATCACAAAGATGTTGCAAAACGTTTTCGGATTATTAAATCCATCATCAGTGCAAACGAGGTATACATGCTATGAGCCACCAAAATATATGGGTCCAAACCCTTTAAATGATATAAATTTACATTTGCTTTACAATATGTGGTTACAAATTATGATGTTTAAGTTACCCTTGGAATTGGTAACATGGCGACGTATGACCCTACATAGGTAAAATGGTCCTGAGACGAAGTGTCTTCGAGGACCTGTTGATAACAACTGTAAAAACGCATGTATTGTAGAGCCAAGTTGATCATACCGTCAAATATAAAAATCCACTAGGAAACTAAGTTCCTGTAGCTGGCTGTATACCATATATCACAAAAAAATTATTTAAAATCCTTTATAAAAGGTATATAATAAAATGCCCAAACGGGCTATAACAAAGATATTACAAAACGTTTTCGGATTATTAAATCCATCATCAGTGCAACCGAGGTATACATGCTATGAGCCACCAAAATATATGGGTCCAAACCCTTTAAATGATATAAATTTACATTTGCTTTACGTTATATGTGGCACTGAGGATGGATTTAATAATCCGAAAACGTTTTGCAATATCTTTGTGATAGCCCGTTTGGGCATTTTATTATATACCTTTTATAAAGGATTTTAAATAAATAATAATATTGGTGGATTTTAACGATCTAATAGGCAATCAAGTAATACCCAGAATTAAGCAAAATCATAACGAGGATGTTAACAACGAAAATGGAGAACTGATGATAAACTTCTGTACGAATAACGAATTAGAATAAATAACACATTTCTTTAACCACAAAGACATACATTTAATAACATCCGTGGACAAAGATCTATGATAAATTATGTTATAACCAACAGAGATATACATCCATCGAAAATAATCGACGTAAGATGTCTCAACTCAGCAGATGTAGGTAGCGACCATAGCCTAGTATTATGTAAAATAAGAATCATCCTGAAATACTTCACACCTATGGGAGTGGCGCCAACACAAACAAAAATCAAAGTCGAAGGGCTAAATACGGAATCCACGGAATACTTATACAGAAAAAGAATATCAGAGAAGATGGCTGGGAATGAAATATTAAAGAACGATAACATCGAGGAAAGGAGGAACTCAAAAATAACATAATTACCGCAGCAACAGAATCAATTGGAGAGAGGAAAGTAACGAACACTAACATATCAAAAAAGAACATGGTTTAGAGAAAAGTGAAGAAAAGAGGAAAGCCTTTTTACAATACAGAACACAACAAATACAACAGGCATATAACCACTATAAACTAATCAGAAATGAAACGAATACTTTAGTTAGGCAAATAAAAAGGGAACACTGGCAGATCTTCACAAAACAGAAGGAACACGACTTCTACGGAACACAAAAAGAAATATGGAGAATGATCAGAAGACAAAGAAAAGAGATTAACGAACTAATAAAAACGGAACACATTCAGAAGGAAACATTCGTAGATTACTTTCGATCCCGATTTGCTAAAGGTGACGATGATGAACCACCAACACCAGAGGTAACGACAAACGAAGAAATCAGTATTGAGGAGAAAGAGGTAAAGGAAGCATTAAGGAAATTAAAAAATTCAAAATCACCAGGAGAGGACAGAATACCGAAACAACTAAATACGTAGGACCAGATCTGACTAAACAATTATTAAAACTAATCCAAAAAATAATAGAACAAAAAAAATTCTTCAAGAATCAAGTATCCTAATACCCTCACCGAAAGGGGAGACAAATCGGACCCAGAAAATTACAGAGGAATTAATTTATTAAACAGAAACTAAAATTAACAACCAAAGTTATAACAAATAAACTGAAAGAAATTATAAAACTAACAGAAGAACAACAAGATTTTTGGTCGGGAAAATCAGACACCGACGCTATATTTATAATGAGGCAAGTGCAAGAGAAATGATTAGAATACAACAAACGGACATATCTGTTTCGTGGTCCATTTGAATGATAACCAACAAATGGCAGCCAGAGGAACTTAGGAAGTTGGCAAATGGTGCAAAGTGAGACCTCATATTCAAAAGTTAAAAAATCCTTATGGAATCTTTTTCTACGAGCAGAAATATTTCAATTGATGAAAGTATGGTTGCCTTTAAAGGAAGGACTACTTTGAATAGTACATGCCAATGAAACCCATAAAGAGGGGTATACAAATTTGGGCAATGGCAACAGGTTACCTCATCAATTTTGAGGTATATCAAGGTAGAGAACCTGAACGGACTAACTAACATACTCTAGGGGAAAGAATTATTCTGAATTTAATTAAAGTGTTGGAAAAAGGGGGACACTGCTTGTACTTTGACAATCTTTTTACCACGCTTCCTTTTATGAAAAAGGTATCAGAACTAGGTCATTTTGGTTGTGGAACAGTAAAACAAACACGAAAATATTTTCCAAAAGTACATTTAGTCATCATCATCATTAGTAGCTCGACATGCCTTTCTGGGTCCTGGCTTGTTCTAGGATTTTCTGCCATTGTGTTCTGTTCCTTGCTTTGTTTTCCAGTTGGTAATCTTAAGTGTTTTCAGATCTTGTTCCATGTATCTAAGTTTGGGTCTTCCCTTTGACCTTCTCCCTATTGGTGTTTGCCTCATTATATATTTTGGCGTTTCAGTCTCCAACATCATCC